TAAAAGCCTTTTTGCTATATTAACTGCATGTTTAAGCCTATATAATAAGTTGCAATGTATTTGCAATTAGCATTGTTTTTATTTAGATCAGACCTCGTGATCCACCATCTGCGATCCACTGAACTTGATAATACAGCAACACATGCAAATGTTACAGTGTTTGTTGACTCATAAAAGTCATTGTGCATCAGCTCAGTTTGAAGATTCAAACTGTTTGTGTTGCAGTATTAAACCGAATACTTTGATGGTCCAGTGGTCCTAATGTGTGCTGGAGAATGAGAAGATGGAAAGAGTTGCTGCGAGGATGAATCACAGGGGCTTTGATATCATCAAGAGCAGATGCAGCTCCTGTCATCTGACTCGCCTCAGTGCACATCGCCTTATGTAACATTGGTCACATGACTATCCTGGCCATGGAGGTCCATGATCTAGTGTGCTGGCCAGGGTTGTGAGCTTAAAAAACTGAAGCATCTAGTCATGTCTAGTCATTAAGTGAAAAGAGATGGAGATCTAGAGATGCTGATGATCCACCAGGTAGACCAGAACCAATTCTGAGCTGGTCTAAGTTGATCTTTTTAGCAGGGTTGCCAGCCTCCATTCACAGTGGTTGCTTCATCCTGAGTTGCCAAGTTACTTAAGACAAAAGAATGACACATCTTGTGCACTTTTCATCCACTTCCTTCATTTCCCACAGAACTAGAAACATCTGTCTTGGCAAAAGTGAGTAACCGTGAACTTGCGGAAGTGATGATGTCATACAGTTAGACATAATGGATGTCTCAATGTACCTTTGAGAAGATACCAGGAATAGAATCAGATTCTCTTTGATGAGGCATCACTACTGGGATGCGTGTGTGTTGGCATCTGAGATTCATCAAACTGCCGTATCTCTTGTCTTTGTTCTTTCTTCAGCCCTTTATCTTTGTTTGGGTCCCTTGTTGAAGGTTTTTTTAATTTTTTGCCAATGTAACAGATTGCCTTTTTAAGAATCATCAAGCATCTTTAACATACACTTCTTAAAGTTCTGAGTTTTGTGTGCTTAAGTGCATATTCTCTGTGCTAGCAGCACAAAATGGATTTGCAATCTGTTCAGAGGTTTGGAATTGCAGTCTGTTCAACCTGTCTGCAGCCAGACAGGACAAGATCAGAGACGGTAAGGAAGAGGAGGCAGACCACTCAGAAGAAATAAATGCCTTATGGTGGATGCAGGAATTTTATTTTTTTTTTAGTAAAAAGAAATCGCCTTTTGTGAGAGACTAATTTGGCTGCTGCATTCTTAAATGTATATATATATATTATATATTTCTAATAAGTGTTTTTCATTTTGAACTTTCTATTTATCAAAGAATCCTGAAAAAAATCTATCGCCGCAAAAATAGTAAGCTGCACAACTGTTTTCAACATTAATAAGAAGCACCAAATCGGTCTATTAGAAGGATGTTTATGGATAATGTGACACTGAAGAATGCTAAAAATTCAGCCTTGCCATCAATTTTTAAAATATATTAAAATAGAATTTTAAAAAATTTAATTGTAATAATATTTAAATTGTATAACATGATTTTACAGTATTTAAATCAAATTAATGCAGCCTTGTTTAGGATAAGAGACTTCTTTTTAAAAAATTCTTAAAAATCTTATGAATCCCAAACTTTTGAAAGGTGCATAAGCATGACTTATTTGAGATATATTAAATGCAATTTTAATAAACAATATTAAAGATTTAGTTTTTTTATCACGTCAAAGCAACCAAATCCCTAGTGACCATCATTTTCCTATTTTATTGAGCCTTGTTGACTCATTGTTTCTGATTCTGTCCTAGTTGCTCTTGACTGTACTATAGTTCTGTGTCTGTCAGATACTTGTATGGTGCTCTGTTTGTCCATCTTCTATCTTTTTTGCTTTCGATTAGGTTTAATGCAGTACAATCTCTCTGCAGATAGGTGGTTTAGGAATAGTGTGTATTTTACAGCTCTTGTGATGGTAACAACATCAGACTGCTTTAGCCAACCCCAGCACAGAAAAGATAGACATGGGCATCATCTGTCAAATTGCATAACGGGATACATTGATGATATTTTTCCTGACAGCTGGAACACCTTTTTTGTAATATGTTGTCATATAATATGGCACATTAAATGATACCACCTTCATTATTATAGTAATTTATAAGGGATTTAAAGGGGTCCTATTATGCTTTTTATAATGTAAAATATGTGAAAAATACAACCTAGTATGAGAGCCTGTTCTAGTACACCCCCAAAACAAAATCAAGACTTTGTAAAAGAGCATAATAGGACCCCTTTAAGTAAATTAGTTAAAATATTTGACTGAAACATAAAATACAAAGTATACATGGATACATGATATATGGATGGTACAAAGGATGCAATAAACCGTAATGCACCAAACTTAGATTTTTTTTAATGACTTTTAAAAGGTTTCTGAGTAAAATCAGATATCTTACCCAGATTTATGTTTTAAGCAAATGTGAAGCAAGATCACAGACAGATTTTAAGGGTGATGACAGTTAATCGCTTATTTTTAAGGGATCTGAGATGAAGTAGAAGTTGTCCTTACCTCAGTGAATTTGTAAGCCTTGTAAGTGCTTTAATGTACTGTTATTACTGAGAAATGTATCCAAACTATTTTTTGCGATAAGTAATTAACCTGCATATTCTGTAAATTTTGACATTGCTTTAATGGCATGAACAGTAATTGCTGGTGTAGTAAAAAAAGGGGCTGTGTTTAATTCTGGATGACTGTATTGCAGTGATAAAGAGAATACTAGTGGATTATAAGATTAGTTGGTATGTTCTTATGGGACACAACTACAGGGTTAATGAACCTTCAAGGCGTCTGTTAGCTTTGAGCACAATCTTTTGATTAGTAGATCAAAGCACATGTTGCTCTTGAATTCATTGCATATCTTGCTCTCAATAAATTGCCATTCTGGTTTTAGACTGACTCCTCCAAACTCATCTCACCAGTAGCTCCCTGCCATTCTGAGAAAATAAAAGACTATGTTGTAAGTTCTCTATAAATTGTTTTGAAGAAATAAAAATAGACACAAGCGAGAGACAGTTGTTGACCTAGAGTAAGTACTGTACATTAATATGGATATCATAGCAAGATTTTTTCTTGGAAGAATTCAATAAGAAATGTTTTAGTTCCTATTTAAATATTTTGCAGACTTGCATACTTTTTTAAATCTGGGGATATTTTGTAATATTTTTGAGATCACTAGGTTTTTTTTTTCTCAGGAGAAACATCTGAGAAACATATGCTTAAAGTCTCAAAATGCTCTCCATTTAATCTCATTGTTGTCTAGGTGAAGAAATAGATATTTTAAAAAAGATCTCTTTGGGGTTTGTCTTTCCTATGGGACTTTTGATCCATTTGCCCTCTCTCTTTTTCATTATCTATAATACATTTGATTAAGACATCCATACTTCTGACTTTGAGGCTGTCAGCTTCAGTCATTTTGTATTTGATCTGGTCTTGTTTCCTTCAATGCTTCCATCAGCCTGTGCATCAACATCTGCACATGCATTTCTCAGCTTTGCAAACACTGTGAAGTCAGCATTAGACCTGTTTACTGCACTCTTACCGGACTGCGGTTCATTGTTAAGCGTCACGTCTGCCTTGTCGCCTGTTTGTGATAATGTATGAAGTGTCTAAAAGGAATTTAACTCTGTATTCATAATTTCAGGTTCCTCAGAATGCAAGCTGGGATGAGTGCGTCTTCAATGCCTTGACATTTATGTTATGGTGGAATTTCTTGTATTTTACCTGTCATTTATTGTTTTATATATAGCGTTTGTTTGACTAAAAATACAGTAAAAAAATCTCTTGTGACATTATAAATCTTTTCTACTATTACTTTTGATCAATTGAATTTGTCCTTACTGAATAAAAGTATTAAAGGGGTCATATGATGCTGTTAAAAAGAACATTATTTTGTGTATTTGGTGTAATTAAATGTGTTTATGTGGTTTAAAGTTAAAAAAACACATTATTTTCCACATACTGTACATTATTGTTTCTCCTCTATGCCCCGCCTTTTTGAAACGCGTCGATTTTTTACAAAGCTCATCGGTCTGAAAAAGCGAGGTGTGCTGTGATTGGCCAGCTATCCAATGCGTTGTGATTGGCCGAATACCTCAAGCGTGAGACGGAAATGTTACGCCCCTCACCATACTGTTGATGTCGTGTCCCGGCCGGAGCGACGATTAGAACGAGCCATTTTAGGTAAGTGTGGCGGACTCTGAACTTTTATAAAGAATATCTCTTTGGATTTGAGACTTTAGTCTTTGCAACTTTACAGATCTTCTTTATGCGCCAAGAGCTTGTAACACTCCAAAGAGAAAGGAAAAATTGAAATCGCATCATATGACCCCTTTAATTTCTTAAAAAAAAAACCTTACTGCTCCAAACTTAATAGTGTATAATAATTATAGCGATACATTTAAGAATCTGAAATTGTCTGTTTTTATTCAGTGATGGAAGAAATATAGCAGTGATACATAACTAAATATCCTTTTAATTTATCCTTCATCCCAAGCCCATAAACCCATTCATGCTTACCACATTCTCCTTGATAATGTGTCATTTCTCTATTACTGCTGCTTCTGTTTTAAGGCTTTTTATGCTGTTAAGGTTTACATAATAACATTTATTCCAGCCTGTTAACATGAAAGATTATTAAAACTAGCAGCTTCTGCTTGATGCACTGCAATGAATAGTTATTTAAAACAAATCATTTTAATGCAGTCTGAACCCATTCAGATAAAACAATAAAATTACTATGTGCGTAATACAAATGTGTGTCATTATGGACAAGCAAGAGCAAAGTAAAGGCTATTCCTCCCACATATCCTTTGTTTGGTGCAGCACACATCCACTCTAAATCAGCTAGATTAGGATTCTTGGGGTTGTTTTACATAAGGTGCTTTGTGTAAATGGCAATAAATTGATAGATATTCACAATGTGTGTGCAGGGTTCCGCCGATTCCTACACTAGCAGACCATCCGACTCAGATGTCTCTCTGGATGAGGAGCAGGGCGGCCGGCAGGAGAAAGAACAGCAGGCCACCGTTCAGCTGGAGAGGGCAAAGGTCAGACTGTCTTAACCAGAGCTACCTGTACTGTACCTATGCCATTTTTCTTATATATGCTTCATATGTGCTTTAAATCTGTCTCAGGCCAAAGCAGTGGCCTTTGCCGTGAGGACAAACGTCAGCTACTGTGGTGCCCTGGATGAGGATGTTCCTGTCGCTGGCACTGCCATTTCCTTTGATGCTAAAGACTTCCTTCACATCAAGGAGGTGAAGAGGGTATTTATTTAATGAGAGCCTGTCTAGCTGTGTCCATTTATAAATGGAGTTTAAACTAATTCCTTTGCCCTCTGTGTATTTACACAGAAGTACAACAATGACTGGTGGATTGGGCGACTGGTGAAGGAAGGTTGTGATATCGGTTTTATCCCCAGTCCCTTAAAACTAGAGAACATTCGCTTACAGCAGGAGCAAAAAAGGGGCCGCTTCCATGGGTAAGACTGCCTTAGAGGAAAATATGAGTAACGAGTGTTACGCTAAACCTTAAACAGTTTTGAAGGCTAAATAAACAAAGATGCAAATCTGTCTTCCATTGTATTACTTGACAAGCCATTGGTGGTAAATTATTAAAAAATTAGTAGCCATTATTCGTCAAAGAAGAATATAATGAAAGTTAATGAAAAATGCGGTAGATTTTCACTGTGCAAATTTCAAAAGCCAAATTTCAGGATGATTATAAATGCCCTTGTACCTCATTGTTCATTGCAGCATTGTTCTATTTAGAACACAGGACAGGTGATTATTCATGGGACAACTAATTTTGGAATTGGCGCAATGTCCTTTCATGTGCTGAGCATGATTGGTCATAGTTGTAGGTGTTTATTGAAAGAAATGACACACAGACCCTTTGAATGAGATGCTGTGTTCTTTCTCAACAGCAGTGATCAGCAGTGTTGAGTCACGCAGTAGTCATACCTCACCACTCTCTCAGATAAAATGTTTGGGTTTGAAGGACAAAGGCATTTGTACTTTACTGCTGTTCTTTCCTTAAAGGGGTGGTTCAGTGGCATTGTTTATGCTCAAACAGCAACATTACACACTAACTAAAGTAAAAAAAGTGAAATCGCAATGAACCACCCCTTTAACAAAGGAAAAACGTAGTATGTCTAAAATAGTGATCCAGATAGATCCTTCAAGATGTTTACATATTACATCCCTAGTGAAAAATAAATATACTAAAATGTATTTGAAATACATTTATTTCATGCTAAGTACATTTACATATTTACGTATGTAATAAAAATACCCTGCAACTGTACTTTTGGTATACTAAACTGATTAAAGTCTGCTAAATTGGAACAACAAATTATGTACTTAATGCACTTTAATTGTGAGGAAGTAGTGCTGAAGTCCAACTAAAGATATACTGAAGTATATTTGATTGTGCTAAAGTGGAACTATTGCAAGTATA